TTTAAAGTATGAATTTTGATTCATTAAGTTTGCCAAAAGTTAATATTATCGGTCTTTATCAAATTATATTGAGTCGAAACTCACATTTAGATATATAATTTTATAGAGTATTATGCAGTTTTTTGAGGTATAATTTTCATTATTTTTTCGTGTTTAGTATAAGTTTTTTGTGTTGCATATATTATAATTTGAAGAGATTTTCTTGATATTTTATGATTAACTATATATTTACTGTTACTATTAAATCCAACAAACGATATTAAATTATTAAATACCTTAACATGGACTAAACGTGTTAAACTTTTACTTCTTTTACAAAATCTTCATTAATATATTTCATTTTCTTACCGATTTTGATCATTTTATTTGAATCGAAAGTCTATTAGAAACAACCTCTCTATTTTCATAGGCACTTATATAAAGTTTACGCATTTCTATTTTCAAATCTCACTTGTGAAATTACACCCAACAAAATTAAAGGATCAAAATTGTTCAATGGTTACTTAAAAGGACTATTTTGAGCCTAACCTTGAACATAAGGGTCTAAATTTGATATTCTCCCTTTTCCCGCATCTATAAATCCCCGCCATTTTTGGTTCACAAAATTCACAAACATACAAAAAAAAAAAATCAAAATCAAAAACAGTAGCGTAAAGTAAAAATGGGGATCGATCATCTTGCTAAATTAGCAAAACGCAGCATAATTCAACAATCAAAGCATCGTTTAATGTTCAATAATTCAATTTCTGAGTCCAATTTTGTTTCTCATTATCAACAATGCAGAGTTTACTCTTCTCGAACTACGAACAGTTCAGCAACTAAAATATCAAAATCCAATTTCCTTTCGATTCCGTTTTCTATTCAAAAATCAAATCCATCTTCAGCTTCTGCGAAAACGCGTATTGGATTCTTGGCGTGGTATTTGGGAGCTCTTGAATCTCGTCCGATTATCACGAAATCTATTTCTTCTGCTGTTATATTTGCTGCTGCTGATATTACTTCTCAGGTATTCTCTCGTTTTGCTTAATTATGTGATTTATTGCTTTGTGTTAAAATGAAATTGTTATAGATTTTAGGATAGTAAATCCGGTTTGAACTAAAGTTACTGAACAATGAGTAATTTTTTAGCTCCGCCTCTGATCCAAATAGATGGAAATGATATAGCTGAATAGATGATCCATAATCCAACAGCCCTGTTTGGATGGTTGTTATTATTCGTCGAGAATAATAGTAGAAAAGTATAATTGGGTAAACTTTCTACTAATCCAATATATTAAAGGATTTTTTTGGTAGAGAAGTTACTTAAAAGCTGGTTTGGATTGATAATTCTTTTTTTTAAAAAAGCTTTTAATACAAATAAAATACAAGTCAAATTTAAAATGACTATTATGTCAAAAAAACAAAAAGCAAAGGAGGCCTACTTTTGATTTTTAATATTTTAAAATTCATTAAAAAATTTATTTTGAATTATTTTTAACGTTGTCAAGTACTTCCAAAAGCTAAAATGAATTAAAAGTATATTTGATCAACTTTTAAGTTAATTCAAACATTCTCTTAGTTTGACCGAACCGTGAGTAACCTTCTAACTCGGCCCTTCGTCCAAATATAGAGGAATTGACATAGATGAATAGACACGATGATAAAAATAACTTTTAGCGGCAATAAATAGACATATTAATAAAGAGTGCTAAAGTCTTTAGTCTTTACCGGCATTTGTTAAGTGTCATTATATCTAATGTTTCTGAAGCCTTTAGGGACATATACAAAGAGTGTTAATTGCCGCTAAAAATACATATTTAGCGACAATTGCTAATTAATTGCTTGCTAAAACTCATTTTTGATGTAGTGAGATGATCCCATGGCAGAGATAGAATTTTTACTAATAGGAGTATAGGACTCAAAAATGTTAAGAATTAACTATACAAAGAAGCCATAGGTTCAACATCAACTATATATGCACAAAATATAATTTTAACCTTATACATTTATAATATAATTTTCTGCCGAAGAGGCTTCTGATTATATCTACCTAGCTACGCCCCTGGATGATCCATATACCTTATCACAGCTGTGTGATGCATCTAGTACTCTTTCAATTTGATGGGTTCAATATTTGTGTTATCATAACTTAAGCCTTTGTGCTTTTGCAATTATATGTTTAGAACTTGATATTTAGTTGCAATTTTAGTGATTTTCAGATATATATTTATGATATTGTAAAGAATACTGGGTTTTGTTAACCCTGTGAATCTACTCTGCATCCGTCTCCTTACGTGACCCTAACTAGTCCGGAATTGTGGCATAGTTGTAGTTGTTACTGTTTTGATTTGATCAAATATTTCAAAATTTGAATAATGATGTTGTTTGTATTGGTCAGATGATTGCGATGACACCTTCGGATTCTCTAGATATAATAAGGACTTTGCGAATGGCTGGGTTTGCATTGATGATCTTAGGAACAGCACAACATCAGTGGTTTAACTTTATGGGGAGAGTATTACCAAAGAGAGATGTTGTTTCTACCTTGAAGAAATTGTTGCTAGGGAATTTCGCTTATGGGCCTGTCATTAATTCTGTTTTCTTCTCTTTCAATGCAGCTCTACAAGGTATGCATTCATTTTAACTGTTGTTCAATTAGGTTACTACTTTTCTTGATTAGTATATGGATCATCATCACACCATATGCATTTGATCAAAGCTAGTATACTTCTCTAGAAATCTCTAATAGCGGAAATGTCTCCTAACTATATGGCTATTACTTCTTGTTAATAACTTCTCTTACTGATTTTGATATGTTTTACTTGAGTGTAGGGTCTATCAGAAACAACCTCTCTACCTTCACCAGGTAGGGGTAGGGATGCATACACTTTATCCTTCTTAGACCCCACTTGTGGGATTTACACGGGGTATGTTGCTGTTGTAGTAGTATGGCTACTACATTCATCACGGAACTTTCTGCACCGATACTGTGAGAAATGTATATGGCTATTACTTTCTGTTAATAACTTTACTTAATGAAGTTGAAACAAAACAATAGCCTATGTCGAGACCTTTTCAACTGAGGATAGGCTATTTCTGTTAGAATCTTACTTTCCTTGGCTATACGGTGATCATGGACATTCTATCAGTTAGATGTGATGCTCTCAGAGTAGCTTTTAGGAGTGTTCTGCATTATTTGTTATACGATCATTTGTTGGCTGAACTGATTCTCATGTTGCCCTTGCTTTTGGATTTGTTATCTCATTTCTCTCTACTTGTTCTAATTCGTTCAATCTATTTTGTTTGGGATGTTCAGGTGAGAATGGAGAAGAAATCGTTGCAAGATTGAAACGAGACCTGATCCCAACAATGACTAATGGACTTATGTACTGGCCATTGTGTGATTTCTTGACATATAAAGTAGTCCCTGTCCATTTGCAGGTATTCACATTCCTAGTCTTTGTTTCAATAGAACTTGTACAATATCTATAATGAGATAGTCCAGCACTTCTGTACTCGGACTATTAGCCTTTCTGAAAGGCATAATACATGAAAAAAAACCCACAATTTTTGCCTCAATCGGTAAATAAGCACTCCAACTCACCCCTGATGTATCTCGTGAACACCCAATGCTGACACGACATATAAATTTGGAGGTGTCTATTATAAGTTGGAGAGTTCAGCTGACTTGGACATGAGTTGAGGTGTCTAGACGTGAACTCTCATGAGTTCGAGTGCTTACTTGCCAACTGAAATCAAGTTTGAGTGTTTGTTCATGTATTATGTCTTCCTGAAAAGCTTATTTTTGCCCTGTTTCACTACTTTCAAATTGAGTTAAATGCTCAGTTCAACTCCTCTCATTCTGATCACTAAGAATCTGTTAACGTCTCTTTCGCAGCCATTGGTTAACAGTTCATTTTCATATGTATGGACTATATATTTGACGTACGTTGCAAATTTGAAGAAAGTTTCTGATTAATTTCCACGCCGCGCTATGAATGTATCAATATTCTCTCTGAAGATTGAACCAAAAGAAAGTTAAATCAGTCCGTTGAGTGATCAACAATGTCATTACTGCTGATTAGTCTATACTTGATGATTATGTGAAGAAAAAAAAAACAGTTACATAAAATAAAATGTATTTGAGAATCACGTTGATTTTTATTTGTTAATTTTGTGTATTGGTGAATGAAATTTCTATACATAGCCTCATTTGTCTTTAATTTTTTTGAACAAAAATGGTGATGTTCTTCTTCCATTTTTGAAATATCATGATCGGCCAATGAGAAACTAATAAAGTAATTCAATATGAATACTTGATTTGAATGTTCATTTTTTACAAGAAGAAGCTCCAACTCAACATACTGGCTGAAAATTGAAAATATTAAAATACTTAAATTGATCAATCGAAATGTCAAATTTCAAAATTAAAATGAATATAAATTGTAAGGGAAATTTTTTTGAAATATATTCAAACTTTGACTGAAATTGCTATTACGATATCAAACTTTATGGAGGACCTTTACCTTTAAAATAAAGTTTTAAAAAGTACAGAGGTAAAAATTTCTTCATAAAATTTAGTATCGTAACAATAATTTTGGACCTTTTTTTTCCAAATTATAATTTCTTTAATTCAAATTAAATTTTTTAATAAATTTTAAATTCTAACTTAACCATGGTGTGTCGTTAAAATCACCAAATTGGAGTGACATAATTATTTTCACAAGGCCACAACTAATCATACAACCATGTTGGCCGGTCAATACAATGAGTAGAGTATGGTCCCACGTGGCAAAATAAAGTGTAGAAGCCGGCATCGATACATATATTCCTTATTCCTCAATCACCGGATAATAATTATTGGTTCGATTCATTTTAATTTATGTGATACTATTTGAATTTAAAAATTAACTAATCGTATAGAAAATTGATTTTAGAAATAGTAAAAGTATAGAGTATTCTCCTTCCATTTTTTCCCCTAACTATTCTCGTTTATGATTAACCACCAAATGGTGGACAAAAGGAAACCTTAAATAATCAACAAACACTATTTTTATTTTTTACAACAAATATCTCTTTGTATCTCTCTTTTCTTGAGAAAAAAGAGAGAAAAGAGATAACTTTTTTTTTCAGGTTGCACATACACAAATTAGGGAAAAGGAAATTCTTTTTTTTTTTGTTAAATTATTGATGGAGTGTTGGGAGAAGATGATGGATCCTATGCGCAAAGCTTGGGGTAGAGTTTCTACACGTATTCGCATTCGTAAAACTGGTTAGTTATGTTATTATTTAATTCAAATCTTGATCACATGATATCGACTTTATCAATTATTCGCGGCTCTCCTCCAACATCGTCTAATTAATTTATCCTATTTCAATTCATCTTCTATTGGGGATATTGAGTCATTTGATATCTTAGAAGCAAATAATAACTCAATGAAATTGATTACTTGAGTTGAAACATAAAGAGGAACGTTATTTGTTGCTTTATTTTCTTTCTATCTTGATATTTTATTGTCATATATTTCTTGCAACTCTTTTCGAATAACTTCTCTTTTGAGTTGATGGTCTATCGAAACAGACTCTCTACCTTTCAAAAGTTAAAGTAACATTTGCATGCATGTTATGTTACTTTTCCTAAACCCCACTTATAAAATAATTATAGATAATTACTTATAGATTTTTTTTACGTGATTGATTAATAAAATATAAATTTATTTGAATAGTGTTGGTATATAGAAATTAAACTCGTAACTTAAACATTTTGAATAACCGTTCTCAAAATTTTTATTTTATAGGACATGTAAAGCTACACCGTGATGTGAGGAAATGTGAATATGAAGATGTTCAAATTTTGTGGAATATGCTGAAAAAGAACGAAAAAGAAGATGCTTCTAAATCTCCTTGTGGACGCAAAAAAAGTTCGATTCTGGGATATTGTTGATTGGGCTAAACGTGCTCCCTTCATTTGTCATAGCGTGTGATCAATCAATATGTTTTTATTGTATTTTTTTAGCTTTCATATCGCAAATATTTGCGTGCTTTTTGCAAGACGAATGAACGTAAAACTTTTTCATACTCTTAGTTTCACTTATTTAAAACGATACTATTAATCATGTAGATGTATGAGAGTTGGTTCTAGTGGAGTACATATAATTTATTGGAGATGAATATGTTGTTTTTCTTAGATATTTTTCTAAACTTGAGTTAGTGATACCTATATTTGTATAGAATGAATTTATAGATGAATTATTCTATCTTCAAGATGTTGTTTCATACAAAATGTTTTGGAAAGTGAAGAACTTGTCTTTAATAAGTAAAAAATATGTATATTTATACGTACCTAAATAAGTATATTTATACGTACAAAATCTTTCTTTTTTGAATTTATTGGACAATGAATAACTTGTCTTTGGTAATAAAATTAAATATATGTAATGCTACATAATTCTGTATATTTGTATATAGTAAATTCATAGATGAATTATCCTATGTTCGAGGCGTTGTTACATATGATAAGCATTTTCTCCTAAAAAATGTTCTTTTCAAATTTTTATGATACCAAACTCGATGAATATCATTTTTAATTTAAAAAATAATTCTGAAACTATAAACTTCAAATTCTTGTTTCAAATTTCATATACACAACGTCCATTTTACGCAAGTTGCTCAATGCACGGTATCATCTCCTCTTTCCATCCATGTATTCTGCCCAATGCCAATTGATCTTAAATCTTTCAATACACAAATTTGTACACCAAAAAACCTTTTTAACACACACACACACATACACTAAAAAAAAAAAACAGGATCATGAAGCAAGTAGAAAAAAGTTACGGATTTGTTTGAAAAAAAAATTTGGACCATTTTTCGATTTGTGTGTGTCATCCTTGTGCAGGGGCCATGCTAATCTTCTCTGTATCGTTCCAATTTTATCGATGTATTTTTGTTGAATTATATAAACTTGGCAAAGCTTCTCTCTGCAGACGATGAGGGAGAAATCACGTATTGAGTTTTTCAACTAACATGGGCCTGGACTTATAAACATAACGGGCTGAGCCTTTTTATATTATTTGATTTTTGCAATTTTGAAAAGGAAACTTTCACATATAGCCACTTAAAAATAATTAATTACTCTCCATAGATATAGTTTTATAGTTACAATTTGTAGCTACATGTTATATAGAGGAGAGAGGCAAGCGAGACTGGGAGAGAGAGGAGAGAGGTGAATTGTATATGTATATTTGTAAGATAATTGTATATTATACATATGTATATATAGCGAGAGAGATTGAAAGAGGGAGGAGAGAGACAACAGAGACCGGGAGAGGGAGGAGAGAGGCGAGTGAGAGAGCACAGAGAGGGAGGAGAGAGGCGAGAGAGAGAGCACAGAGAGGTGAATTGTATATGTATATAATTGTATATTATACATATGCATTTGTATATATGGCAAGCAAGATTGGGAGAGGCGAGCGAGAGAGGACAGAGAGTGGACGAGAGGTGAACTGTACATGTATATGCGTTAAATAATTGTGTATTATACATATGTATTTGTATATCATGGTGAATTATACATACAAACGTGACTAATCATACAAACTCGAAGTCAGCCCACGTAATTAATATAATGTTAGTCACGAATGATAATTATAACAAACTATAACTATGATGAGCTATTAAATAGTATAAATTTAGTTAGCCCCATAATTTTTCCATTTTGAAAAGTTAGGCATATCCTGTGCATTTATTTTCATAATCAAACGACAAATAATAATTTTTTTACATTTTATTTTGAAATTATTATCCTTATTTCCGCAACTAAAATAATCATTATCATAAGGAGGTTTTAAGAAGTTACCTACTGGCCGTCAAATACTTTTATTATATTATAAGAATGACTAGAAATTTATTGATATGCCTATTATGGTAGCACGAAAATGAGTAATCTGGTCAGTCATAATAAAAACAATTTATAATAGTTGTAATTGATGAGTTATATCTACTGTTCATTTCTCATTTTTTCTTAAATTGGCCATGCTACCTGCGGCCTCTTATCTAAATTCACATTATATCATGAGAAAACACATTATTAACCTAGGCCTGATAATCCAAAAATCAAATCAAATCGAAGAAAATTATATTAATTCAGATTATTTTCATTATTTCAATTTTTATCAATTTAAAACTTTATATTTATTGATACAACTAGAATAGATATAAAATTTTTACTGTTTAGCTGTTAAATTTTTTCGAGTAAAAACAAAAGAAATATTTAACTAATGTAACGATAAGCCATAAAGTTTTGAGACTGCAAAAGCCTCTCAGCATTCAATTTCACACTGTTTTTTCTCATGCAATTCAAAAACAAAACACAGTAGCAATTACTCCTCTCATTTATTGCCCTCACCCCCTCCAATAGTCCCAGCACTGTGACACATGTTATCTTCACCACTCTTTTTTCAAAAAATAAAATTATTTTTTTATTTTTATATCAATCTTCGTTCATTTTTGTTTGTTCAGAATTTGATACACTCTCTTAAAAAGTAGTAAATAGAAGGATGATTTTACCATATTACCTAGAAAATGTTTTGGGAAACGACTATAGTTAGGAATCAAGTGATCATCTCTTAGTTTTTTTAAATTGGACAAGTAATACCTAGTGGCTAGTTCCCTCTCTTTATGTTAATTTAAAAACAAATTATTATGATATTCCTTCGTTCAACAATTATTATTTATTATGCTAAAAATAATTACCCCCTCTATCTCCCAATTTATATGACATCTTTTATGTTTTGAGAGTCAACAATTTGTGTATGAAAATTTTAATTTTTTTAAAATAAATTTCTATATTTGTAAATTATGTAAAAAGTATTATGAGTCACAATAATTGATAATTCAAAATATTTAAAAGATCTATGAAAAATTACGGTCAAAGATAGACTTGTTTGAATTTTGAAATCCAAAGGTGACTTAAAAAATGGGGCGGAGAGAGTATCCAATACTATTTACGCAATTTTAAAAATCAAAAGAAAATTTATCTCGTGTGTCTATTTTACCCTTGCTATTAAATACTACACTATTTATTGCTCCTTTCGTTCCTTTTTAATTGTCCATTTTTGAATTGGCACACATATTAAGAAAATAATTAATGACGTAGTGAATCTATCATTTTATCCCTATAAATTATGAAGTAGATGAAAAGTTTTATATTTTTCAAAGTAATTAGTCATTTAATTGAGAGAATAATAGATAAAATTGTCATTTCTTGATTTGTCAAAATTGACAAGTAATTAGGGACAACTATAAAAGAAAAAGTGAAAAAATAAAAAGGGACGGAGGAAATATTTAATACATTCTCAAAACATTAAAATTTAATAAAGTCAAATATTATCTCTACTATTTATTATTTCTTAAGGAGGGGGAGGGGGGGTGAGGGTGAAGTCAATAGTGGAAAACTATTGTTGAATAGATGGAGCAATAAGTTAATTGTCTCTTTTCCTTTTAAATTTTAGTTGTCACGTTACGTTTATCGAAAGTCAATTTAATTAACTTTTAAAGTTAAATTAGATTATATTAATTTAATATTTTAAAATAAAATTTAAATATTCAAAAGCGATACGAATTATACTATATATTACAATTTTATTATTAATGATTAAAAATACATTTGAAATGCTAGTTAATCATCTTATCATTAAATTCTTAAAAGAAAATCGTGACAAGTGAAAACGAAGGAAAGAAATTATTATATATACATATATAGGCTTGCAACATGGGCTATATAACACTTTCTTCTTCTTATCTCGACGGATTTTCTGGTCTCTTATTTATTTTTTTATATAATCCGAAAATAAGGTGAAAAAAGGCGGCTTCATAACACTTTTTTTCTTCTTCAAATAATGGGCTGATTATATTGTACTTGTCGATTTGTTTTTTCTATAAATTAATTTTTCTCAGCATTTTGTTATACTCACACATTATGAAGACTACTTTTGTTTTGCTCTTGTTGTTGACAATGGCAGTTTTGGTTTGCTCTATTTCTTATGACAATGGAGGCACCTCAACGAATACTCTTGGTAAATATTTTTATCAAATTTTAGCATATGATTTACAATATTTTTGAAATTATTTTTGATTTTGTAAAAGTGTTATAACAAAAGTCTACATATGTGGTTTGAGCTAGGTTTTGAGATGTGAGTTAGAAATAAGACCTAATTTTATTTGGTATTAATATTGTCCATGCATTGGGCGTGAATTTTTTATAAGGCTGAAACTAGCTTTTTGAGTATGAATTAAGCTAGATCGAATCTCACAAACCATTTATTTTCTATTGAATCAGCTCACCTCAAATCAATTCATTGAGAAAATGCATGATGAAAAAATCAATTTTTCACTGAAATAGTGGTATACTTTCTAATATTCCCATATGAAAACCATTATCATAATTTTTTTTTTAGGGAAAGTGCATAAGTACTCCTAATCTATGCTCGAAATTTCACTTATATTATATTAAGATCATATTACCCAACACTTATTTTACAAATAATTTTTTATCTTCTTTCGGTCTACATGGCAACTATATAATTTGAAGCTTGGCCTAGAAGATAGTGTCACATATGTGTAGAAAATTATTTATAAAATAAGTTTAAAGTAATAGAACCTTTATATAGTATAAGTATGTTTTAAAATTTCAAACATAAATTGAGAGATATTTATGCATTTTTCCTTCTTTTTACACCGAGTCAATCAAAATATCAGTTTAAATAACTGCTGATCGTGGGAAAATAGTGATTAATTAATAGTGCGTTGATTAAGTAGCCTTCTATTATAATTGAATCACAGGAATGGAGGATAATGAATTGACAGTGATTATCAAAAACAGAAAGCTACAGGTACTTGCACTTTGAATTGTTACATTGGTTTTGACGAAACTTGTCAATTACACAACTAAACTATGCAAGAGTCGTATTACTCTGAACGTAAAATTTGCAGGGCAATGTCAATGAAGCAAGAAGGATCGATGATGCAGGGAAGATAAATCTAGAAGATTACCGTCCGATAGATCCAGCTCCAAGCTCAAAAGCTTCAGTAAGACCAGGGCCTATACAACATGGGACTCCTCTAATGCCTTATATTCCTAAGCAGCCTTCACCTCCTCCTCCTCGCTCCAACCCCGTGGGGTTTCCATAGGCATGATCCGTTCTCACGGATCATTGCCCAGGGTGATAAGACGAGGTGTAGCACGGTCTGATCAGCACATCTCATATTCTAATGTTAAAAACTAGAAGAATGTAATAACTTTAAAAGAATAATGTGTGTTTTATTTGCTTTTCTTGTAAAATTTAATTTGAGCCTTCGTGTTTAGAGGTTCGTATTTGTACCTTATCTAGGTGGTATGTATAACGCATTTGCTTAAAATACAAAGTTGATTCCATCGATGAGTATACTCTCTATGTGATTGTGTAATGATATTTGACTAGACCTTGAACTTGGGGAAAATTCATAAATACACTTTTTATGTTTTTTCTTATTTTCAATATTTTCTTACATTTCTAAAAGCTTTTAAAATTCCTTATTTCTTTAATGTATCCGAGCCGACATTCAATGTACGTGAGCTACATATTATGTATTCGGTTTTATTTTATAATATATCTGAGCTAGTTTTTAATGTATCCGAGCTACATAGTATGTTTCTGAGCTAGTTTTAATGTATCCGAGCTACATATTATGTACTCGATTTATGTTATAATGTATCCGAGCTTCATATTATGTATTTAGTTTGTGTTACTGTTTAAGGAATTAATGTAATTATAAACTAAAGAGGAATAAATTGTATTTTCATATTAAAATGATGTAATTCCTAAAATTAATCCTCAAAATAATGTACTCGTCAAATTCCAAAATTTGATAATAGTATTTTTTTTTTGGGTATGTTGAAATTCTATTTTATTTTTAATATGTTTTATTGAGGGAATTTTGTTTTGTAACCGTCCGACATTTAACAAACTCGAGAGTGACAATGTCAATTTATTTGGTTTCTTGTCAATTGGGCTGAGCCCATTGCCATTTGTTTCGTCAAAATGTTCACACCTACATAATTTGGAAGTACAAATAACATTTAAATTTTGATTTAAATATATTTTCAAATATTTTTAAATATATCGTGTTTGAAATTAAATTTGACAAACGCGTAACTTCAAAATAAAATATATGTAGATTGAAATTTAGCCATATTGTCAATTGTTATAATGTTGACTCTGGCTGGTACTTGCTTGCAAGTTAATTCCACTTGTGAGTTTGCATAACTTAGCCACTATTATAACAATATAATGCAACCAAATATTTAAAAGGTAATTGCATCAAATAAAATATTTAAAGAACATATTTTCTATCATGTGAAATACACTCCCCAAAAATATATATGGCTTTTTTAATTGTACTTTGTTATTTATACGTCACCATTTTTAATATATAATGACATATATAATTTTCACCCATTTTTTCCCTTTTCAAATACACCTTAGATAGTCACTAGATACCAATAATAGGGAAGTTTTTTTCTATATTAAAAGGCGTCTTATGTATTTCTTAAAAATTTAAGTTATAGTTTAGAGCGTATTTATGAAACATAATTACAATTACTATCCTGCAAAAGAGTTGTATCGAACGGATATCAAGAAAAGAATTATATTCAACGGAAATATGCATATATTAGACAAGTATTAGCCAATTGAGAACACAAGAAAGAATCGTATAGGTATATATTGCGCCTACTAGTTCGCATGTGTTGATGCGTGTATTTTCTATTTGCTATAAAACTTAAAATATAACTATGTATCGTTCTGTTTACCAGCCTAGAACCTTTGACTTAGTAGTTAGAAGTAGGAAAAACTCTTCAACCAGTCAATCAATATGACAAAAAAAGCCGATTATATTTCGTAATTTCTTAAAATTATAGCTGCATACCATAACTACCGTCTAAATATTCTCCAAATCGTAATTTTTTCCGAACACTTAATTTTTTTAAAGAAACATTTTTGCACACACCAAAAAGTAGTTTTAAAAAAGAGTCCAAATGTCACTTTAAGTTATTAGTTAAATAGCCTAATGGCCCCATGAAGTTACTTAAAATTATGTGGGTCACCAGTACTTGAGATTATTATTTGGGTATAAGTAGTGAAGTTTCATTATTTTAATATCATCCAACAATTATAATAGACTCCAGAAGTGAAAGTTAAGTCATAACTCTTTCTCTAACTACCATTATTTCCTAATATTAATATGACTTAACTGATCAAGGTATTAACTGGTGGACCTAATTATAATCATTATAATCATTAACACTAAATGCACCTTTGGACCAAGATTGTTGATTTTTGTTGTCCCAATTTTAGGAAAAAATGTTTACTGTATTAAACTATAATATATACAAGATAATATACAAAACATACCTTTTTTTTAAAAAAAAAGAAAAACAAAACATAATTACAAGCTTACTCTTATACGGCCCACATTGTACACAACTCATTCAAAATTTCATATTATAAAATTTATATTTTAAGAAATTCCTAAATATTGATCTTTTGAGTGATGAAAACACCAAAGCATATAACTTTGGATAGTAGTTACGGTTATTCAATTGTGTACAATGTTGAAGTATTGAATTTAAATTTCATATGCTGATCATTTAATTATTATTTTTTACATATATAATCACTTAAAAGATAATTGTTAATAAATAATTAACCATATATAGAAAATGAGATTAATTAATAAATAGTGTGCCAAAATCCTTGTTTCTTTAGCTAATGAAATACTTAAATTATCATAGATGAAAAATATCATATGAGATATACCCAATCGTTCATTTTCCCCCTTGTACTTTGTCTAATCGTTTTCCTCAACTACCTAACAACACATGCTAGATATCATTGAGAATATATAGGACAAAGTTAAAAGTGAGTTGTCGTCGTGTGACTGTTTCGTTCTTAACTAGAGTTTAGTAATTTCGGATTGAGCTTTGAGTATGGAGAAAATTATGTTGAGAGCGTCTGCAATGCGCCATGTGTATTTAATCACAACTCCATTAAAGTGAGAAACAAAAAAATATATATATTTTGATCGGTCACTCAAAATACTTATATTTGCAATTAGATGACATCTTACTAAAAATATTTGTTTCATACTCGATAAATCATGACATAATCAATTACTTTTTCCCATTTTACCCCTATGATTAATATGGCCTTTGGAAGTTTAACCAAATTCTAAAAATCCAAATTTATTTTCTTAAAGAGGCTAATTAGTATGAATAAAGAACAAAAGAGTAAATTTGATCATTTTTCAAAATAATTTTTTAATTATCATATAAAATAGAAAGTATCGATCTAATATTAGACGGAGAAAGTAATTGGTACATATATTTGATGCTTTGCCTTTGCCGTAGTAAAACGTTGGTCCAAGTTCCAAGTAGCAATTTGCTTTCCCTAGCAAATAAGTTAATTTCCGAAATTGCGTACGCAACGCAAGGAATACTTTATCCTTTTGTTATTTTTGTAAATTTAAGGAGCATATATTATATGGTACAATATCGCACTTTTCCCATATTAAATTCTCTGTCAATTCCTTCAAGTCAATAAAGAATATTTATATCATCAAAGTCATATAATACTTGACATGTATGTAATACATTTTACTTACATTCTAAGAAGGTTTGATTATAAATAACCCTTCGTCTCAAAATATTTGTTATGTTTGATTTTTAAGAGTTTATTCGATTAATGATATAACTCTATATTTTAAAAGTAAAATATTTATATTTAAAAAATATATGAATTATACGATAAGTAAGAATTCTTCTCATGTCGACATGGTGAAAAAATCGATATTAAAATATTAGTCAAAGTTTATGTAATTTAACTCTCGAGAAGTGAAATATGACCCGATCGACATTTTGATTAATTTGAGGTGCATAACCATAATGATCACTAGCAGTGGAATCCAGAAGAAAATAAAAGTTGGGACATACACAAAGTGAAACTATGACCAGTAATATTCATATTCTCAAGTGAAAGAAATAAGAGAAATATATTTCTGATAAGAATAAGTATTTATATAAACACATTTATGTTTTGCTAGTTTTTTTATTTAGTGTTTGATATCCGTATTGAAATTTGATTAATTTGAATTTACATTGACAGGACTAGAGCTCCATTCACGAGGAAATGCTCGATCTCTAGAGTCTGCCAATCATTTTTCTATATCTAAAACCACTCAAATGTGAAACTTATAATAAAAAAAGGAATAACTTAATTCACTGAACCAAATACTGGCGATCCATATAAAAAATATGCTAGCTATATCCTCCAGACTAAAAGGGTCTGATTTAAGTGAAATGGAGAAAGTGAGGTTCTTGTGAAGAAAAAAAGAACAAAAGAAAAGAAAAAGAGATGGGCTACAACTAGCAAAACACAACATCAATTAAAGCATTGCAAGATAATGATAAAAAAGGAGGAGAACTTTATAAGTATACGTAACATACAATACACTACGAGTACTCTTTCGTTTTTATTTATATGATTTAATTTGACTTTGAAAATTTACAGCTTAAAATTGTTGAAAAAGAAGAAAGTTGACGATTGGAATAGGTCCAACACGTATCTGCAGCAAGTGTGGATGAAGAAGGAAGCTGATGATTGAAACATGTCGAAGGAACAGGTCAACGAAACTGATCGACGAGTTTACAACACTGTTGTAGAATTTGAGTTAGGATTAAACTATTAATCGATTAGGTTGCTACTAATTGTACTAGTTGAAGTTGATTAGGATTATATTACGACTATATTTTCAATCGTTAGCTTCCTTCTTCTTCAACAAAAATAAGTCATAAATGTTTTTTTATGTACTGATAAATCATCCTACTAAAAATAAAAATAGTCATTTTAAAATTACTAAATATAAAAATATGTCATTCTATTTTAAACTGATTAAATAATGTGTCATATAAATTGGACACGATGAATAATACACTAATTATTTGTGTTGCTCTCTCATGCTCTATATTGTATATATTTCGTTAAATTATATTATTTTTAAAGGATCATACATGCACCCGACGATATCTCAAATTTTGAATAACATAGTATAACAAAACATATCTATGAATTTAATTGATCTATGTAAGCTAAGTGGGGTGAGTTAGGTTCCTTGCATTGGAAACAAACCATGTTTATTGCTATTATTATAATTAGTTGTTTCTTTTGAAAAATAATTACATTTGGTTAGGTGATAATATCTTCGAAAAGCAATCAGAACTAGCTGAAATTAATAAAACACACAAGAAAAAATGATTAATAACCATAATGATGATTACTTTGTGAAAAACTTATCGGTTATCATCATAATATTTATTCCTATATCTCACTAGCACTAGAAAATA